CGTCAATGCTCGTGACATTGCCTTATTTGTCACCATCTTTGAATCGGGAGTTTGAAGTCCCCATAAGGTCACCTCCTTGGACCCATATGTAAAATTTATCTCTATACTCTAGACGTTCCATAATATTGGCCTTAGTGTTTGAAGCCATTGAGCTCCTAACACGGCATCACATCCTTTCAATGGCAACATTGTGAAATCAATACCGAAAACTGATTCAATAAGGAGTAGAGGTACTTGGTGACAAATGCCCACACTATCGAGCCTTTCCCTAATGGGAATCATCACCTTCAAAGGTGGTCCTTGCTCAATTCTTAACCCAACGACCCTTGTCACTCTTTGGTGTAAAAAATTATGGGTAGACCCAAAATCGATTAGCACTGTCATGGAGTGACTCACAAGCTTAGCATAAACCCTCATGGTCTAAGAAGTAAGCACTCCGATGAGAGCATGATGAAGATCTCGAGAGCTTCTTGCCCTTCGATGTGGTTGTCTTCCACAAACCCATCAAGTGAAGTCTCAACCTCTTGCTCCAACTCAATGAAAAAATAGTTTCTTACAAGCATATCCCATCATGTAATGCTTATCACAATAGAAGCATAACCCTTGTCGATATCATTGTTACAACTCGATGGGAGTAAGTTGGTGAACTAAAGCAGTTGAAACGGAATATCTTGTTTGAGTTATCGTGCTTTTTGGATGATTCAACAAGGGGATTTCCTTACATGTGGGCTTACTATTCCCGAGCTCAAAAGGCTTTTGGGCCATGACTAGTCCGGATTGTATGTTTTGCACCCCGAGCGACCTACTTTCAAATATTCGAGCCGATCCAATAGCTTTATTTAAAGTTGAGGGTCTTTGAGCTAGTACATCTACTCGTTAATTACTCCTTTAACCCATTAATAAAAGCCCCAACTCTTGTTCATCAATTAAAGTTCTAACCCTCATAAGTAATCTGTCAAATTGACTTTGATACTCCCTAATCATGTTAGTCCGCTTCGGCTTGCACGGATCGAGTAAAGGAATTTTCATAGAAAGACATATCGAACCACTTCATAAGCCCTTCCTTCAATTCTTTCCATGTAAGTAATGGGTGTAAATTCTTTTGACGTTGGGCTCATAATTGGGCATCTCTTTTGAGATAGTAAGTCAACAAATGTACTTGTTCTTCCGGAGTAACGCTCTAAAAGTCAAAAAATTATTCAACTCGACTAATCCAAGGTGTGGGATCTTCGATCCCGTTATAGCATAAAAAGTCTAACTTTACCAATTTTAGAGCTAAATTCACATTGGTCCCCTCACCGTTAGTGTGCCTCCGTATTAGACTCGACCGATCGGTGGAGGATTTCTCCTTAGCTCGAAAGGCTTGGAACATCTTTTTCATCTGCTTACTCGGACTCTCAAGCTAATGCTCAAGTCAAAGGAAACACTCGGTCGTTGGTTTCTTCGACCATGTCAAGCTCGATACCAAGTCGTTTATGTGCCTAATCGTTCTCACGGCCTCGACCTCGCGTTCTTAGCCTCCCACGAGCTATCTTGAAAGAAATTTAGCAAAATTAAAGGATAAAATAAAAGTAAATTTTATAAATCTTTGCATATCCTTTATTCAATAATTCAATGCATTTAAATAGGTTGACTTACACCGGTACTAGGAATCAAAATATACAAAAAGGACCTATTCTATAAGAACTAACATAAATAAAATAGGACTCATTGCCCCTTAATAAGGAGTCCCTTTATTACTATCTTTAAACCGTGTCATAGCAATTACTGAGTTAGCAAGCTAACCGTAACAAAGCCCAACCTCTCGCAAATGCATTTTCATGGATTGTCTTCATAGTAGTGTCTTCCATTGTTGGAAGTCGAGACACCATTCTTGCTTGTTTGTTACCAAGCTTTGTAAGAGTCAAAGGGATACTATCAATGGATTAGTGGTTTTGGACTTTCTTATATAACAAGAGAACTATATACTCCTTAGGATTTCATGCCTCCCAATGCATCCGCTAAAGAGAAATTCTTTTGGTATAAACATTTTTCAAATCCGAAGGTTTTTTTTTTTCCAAATATGTGATAAGTTGGGAGAGAGAAATTTGAATTTCTAACTAGTGTTTTTAGGGAAGTTTTATGTATTCATAGGGAGCTATGTTTTTGTCACTTCAAACCAATCGTTTATATAAATAATGAATCTTAAAAAGAAAAAGAATGTTGATATTGGAATGTTGTTTAATTGAAAATCCTTGAAGATTTTGGTAGCTAATTTTAAAAGTATTCATAAAAGTAGTTTCAAATATAAATTCAAAACATAGATACATTTTTCATTAAAAATCCAATATATATATATATGTTTTTTCTTAAAAATATAAAAAAATAGATACATTAACTAAGAACAATAGTAGGTAAACGGGTTGATTTTGCCTACCTAATAATCTATTAGAAAATATATTCCACATTAGGTAATTAAACCAAGGATGATTAATAGATAAAATTAAGAAGGGATCACTCACCACAAAGCTTAAATCCTTTGGATGGAACCCAATATCAATTGTCTAACTCTATATGGTATCAAATCATAAAAGAGGTTTAACGGTTTAATAAAAATCCTAAAACCCAAGCCACTTGATAGATATAAAAAAATAGATTGTCCATCTTATATATATGGCCCCTCTATATTTTATGGTTTAGCAGTTAGCCCAACATTTTTTTTTCTTATTTTAAGTCCTCAAAAGAACTAAAATTTTTGTTTACTACATAAATGTTTGTGTTTGAATTAGTTCGAAAGAGATTTTTTATGTGATTATGAGCTCGTGATGACAAAACCTCTTCATTCTTTTGGTGAAGGTTGTGTCGCATATGGCCAACTGGAGAGGTGAGAATAACGAGTCGTCGACGGCTATCTCTTTCTCCTTCTTGCTTGATCATGATTTTAGCCATGACAAGGGAAAAGGAAGGTGGAAAATGACTCATAACACCTCGATGAGTCCGTCTCCAATAAGGTAGAGGTTCGATTTGGTCTAGAACGACGGATTAGAATAGGTATTCGAAAATGGATTGCATGTAGTTTCCTCTTCGATTTGGTTAATTTTGTCAAGGTTTTATCGGGATTTCAAAGGAGATCGGCCTTTAAGAGGATGATGAACATTTCTACTGTGGTTGTGGCTATTGATTTAGGGAGAATAAGGTGATTTGGTCGGGGTTCAAAAAAGGTAGGGTGACTCACTTTCTTTTTTATTTTTCAGCTTCCTTCGCTGTTTTCCATGATGACAATCAATTGGAAAGGGTTGATCTAAGGTTGGACTTCAAGTTTGTGGTGGTTGTTAGAGGTGGTATTGGTCGAAGTGTGGTGGGTTTTAGGGATAGATGGTAGGCGGGTCCGACGGATTGACCCACGAGTGGAAGAGTTTTTGGAGAGAGAGTGCTTTTTATTTTTTTAATATTTTTTTTATTCTTTTTGTTATGGTTCCCCCTTTTGATTTTTTTTTTTTAATGATATTTATACCTCTAACTTAATTAGTCCTAATCTTTACTAGAAGTGGTTTAGCCCCCAAGTTAGATTAAGCTATCCTAAAATGAGATTAGGCCTAATTAAATTGATTTAGAATAGTCCAAAATTTTATTCATGGTCCCTTATTTTTATTTTTCTTCTCTCTTCTTCTTCTTCTTATCCTCTTTTTTTTTTCCTTCTCTTTTTTTTACTCGATATTTTTAAACTCATTGTTCATCTTCTAATTTATGAAAAAAAAGGAGGTAAAAATTAGATGCTAACAACCATCATTTACAAGATTAAATCAATCAAGATTGTTGGAGTGGGAAATGTCCTAAAAAAAAAAAAAAAAAAAAAGGGAAGAAAAGAGAAGAGCATGATACAAGTGAAGGGCCATAAAATTAAGTTAACTATTTTGGTGTGGACTAGTTCAATTTTAAGACGAGAATAAAAGTGGACACTCCCATGCAAAGATGGCCCAACATCAATTAAAGCCTTGGATAACTTAAGCAGTACCAGCTCAAGAAGACCAAAAAAAATAAAATAAAAAAAATCTAACATAGTATCAAAGTCCGTCCGAGTCAGATTCTAGGCCCAATAATTGATGACAGAGGCCGAACAGATCTTGCACCAAAAAGACAGAGAGGGAGAAGCCTAGCTAGGAAGGGCCAAGCGTACACTGACAAGCCCATAATATGAGTCCTTGCACACGAGATGATGCGCAAGAGTTGATTCGTCACTGAAAGATTTGTATAATCCTAAACAAGCTTTGAAATGCATTCAAATTGGGCTCTTATGTGTGCAAGAACATGCAATGGACAGGGCATCCATGTTGGCTGTTGTTTTCATGTTGAATAGTACGGAAATAACTTTTCCTTCTCCAAAAACAACCTGCATTTCATTTTCAAATAACCTTGCTGTAATCCTCACATCCTCTTAATTACACGTAGAAGAAGCTGGTGATCTTCTTGTTCTATAAATGAGAAGACTATTAGTAGTGTTGTTAGTCGCAAGAACCCATGCAAGCTCTGTTCCTCTTTCAATTCAGTTTTCACTTGTTATCATCTTGTATGTATGGAGTCTTTGTTAACTACAGAATCAATTGTTTTCTTAATCTCTTCTTAAAATAGCATAAACAATTTAATTCTGTCAATAATGGGAAGGAAGGATATCTCCGTAATCAGACTTTGGACGTAGCATTCAAATTTAACAAAATTTATGCATGTTAACGCGTTCATGATCATTGGAGGCAAGGCCTAGAACGAAGTAGTCCGTCGTACATGCATAGCATGGGCTTTTCTTGTACAACAGCCCAATAGTAACGATCCAGTGACAAGTGGCCCAACAGAAACATGAAGGAAGAGGACTTGAGGGGAGTATTTAAAATTGGATTCCACCACCAAATTTCAAAGTTTATGAGTTTTTAGTCCAAAATTTAAAATTTTATAACAAAGAATCAATGACTTTTTGAGCATTGTTTTCTCGTAAAATATCAAAAAATTGTAGCAGTAGGTTTTTTCCGATGTTGACTATTGAGTACGGCATTGCTACGTCTCCATGCTGTGTTGACCAACATCATCATCAGCATGTCGTCTTCAATTGCGAGGAAAAGTCATTGTCTATTGCTGTAATAATTGCGAAAGAGCTCCACATGGATCCTTTAAAGAGATGCCACGATAAGCGAAGTGGATCACGTTCTTGGACTTCAAAACCCAAGCAGAGGCTAAGATCTAGTTTACTTGATCATGGATGCTGAAAACTTATTTCTGTTTTTCTCACTTCTAATGTTCCAATTCTCATTTTGTACATCCCAAGACTCCATAAAGACGAACCAAACCATTAAAGAAGGTGAACTCCTAATTTCCAAAGGCAATACTTTTGCTCTAGGATTTTTCAGTCCAGGCAGTTCTGGCTATAGATATCTTGGGATTTGGTACCATAGTGTACCAGGAAAAACTGTGGTGTGGGTAGCAAATAGGAACAATCCAATCATTGGCTCCTCGGGATTTCTCTCTATCAACCAATATGGAAACCTCATTCTGTTTGGTAACAGTGACCAAGAAGTTCCGGTGTGGTCCACAAATGTTTCCATGGAAGTAGCAGATGATTGTGTAGCTGAGCTCCTGGATTCTGGAAATTTGGTTTTGGTTCAAGATGGGAGCAAAAGAGTTGCATGGCAAAGTTTTGATTATCCCACAAATGTTATGCTACAGGGAATGAAAATTGGGCTGAATCGGAAAACAGGATTTGAGTGGATCCTAACATCGTGGAGATCAGCGGATGATCCTGGAATTGGAGATGTTTCAATTAGGATCAATCCGAATGGCTCACCACAAATCTTTTTATATAAGGGTACGAAGCCAACTACTCGAACTCCCCCATGGCCATGGAGAGGCAAGGCCAGTTTATACAACAGGAGTTTAGTAAATGATCAAGACGAAATATACTCTGTCTACACTATTCCTGATGCTTCTCTTCTCCTAACAATAATAGTGGATCATTCAGGATTTGTGAAGGTGTTAACATGGCATGAAAGCGAATCAAGGGATGGCCAATGGAAGGAGATTTGGAGAGAACCTCAGTATGGATGTGATTTTTATGGATGGTGTGGTCCTAATAGTATATGTGAACCTACTGTTGTAAATAGATTTGAATGTGGGTGTTTACCTGGGTTTGAACCCAAGTACCCAAGGGACTGGTTTTTGAGAGATGGCTCTGGTGGTTGTGTCAGGAAACGACTAGAATCCTCTTCAGTCTGTGAGCACGAAGAGGGGTTTGTGAAGGTGGCAAATTTAATTATTCCGGACACTACAGCAGCGGTTTGGGTGGACTTGAGCATGAGTCGTGCAGACTGTGAACTAGAATGCAAGAAGAATTGCTCATGCTCTGCATACGCTAGCATTGAAATTCCTGGGCAAGGGGATGGCTGTTTGACTTGGTATGGAGAATTATTTGACATGAAGTATGATACCACTGAAAGTTATGATCTATTTGTTCGGGTTGATGCATATGAATTAGGTACACTTTTTTCTTTTCAGTGATAACTGGAATAGAATTATTCTATGTTGATGCATAAAACTTTCCTTTTTCCTCTTAAGCAGCTGAATATAACAGGAAGTCAAACGGTTCTGGTAAAAGGAAGGACATTCTGGCCATTTGGGCATCATCTGTTGCATCGCTATGGTTTCTCATTAGCCTATTTGCTTATTTGTGGCTCAGGAAGAAGGCACAAAAAGGTAAGACAAAACTCTTATCACTATTGTAATCTGCCTTACAAATCATGTATTTATTCTGATCGGGTTGTGGGGAGGTGTCTTTAGGGGAGAAATTCTCTTTTTTTCCCTCATAATTGAAAATGCTTATAAGCTACAACAACAGATGAACTACGGGGAAGTAGCAATACTACAGACTTGGAATATTTCAAGCTCAGCACCATAACAGCGGCCACTAACAATTTTTCTCCAGCTAACAAACTTGGCCAGGGTGGTTTTGGCCCAGTTTATAAGGTATAGTGTCAAAAAACTGAATGGCTTCTCAATATGCTGTTCGCTTTTTCTGTTCTTGTCATAATTGTCATTTAGAGGTCTGATATTTTTGCAACATTATTTTAGTGTCTGCTACCTAACGGACAGGAGGTTGCAGTAAAAAGGTTATCGAGAAATTCAGGACAAGGAATAGAAGAATTTAAAAATGAAGTTACAGTAATTGCAAAGCTTCAACATAGGAATCTTGTGAAACTTATAGGCTGTTGCATTGAGGGTGGGGAACAAATGTTAATTTACGAATTCTTACCGAACAAAAGCTTGGATTCTTTCATCTTTGGTAAGTCTTCTTATGTTTTTATTGCCCTGCTTTACATTAATTGTTTAGCTTTGGCTCTCTGAGAGATGATTTTTTAAACAGATGAAAGAAGAAGATTGTTATTGGATTGGCAAAAACGCTTCAATATTATTATTGGTATTGCTCGTGGGATTTTATATCTACACCAAGACTCCAGGTTGAGAATCATTCACAGAGATTTAAAATGTAGCAACATCCTATTGGATGCAGAGCTGAACCCAAAAATATCAGATTTTGGGATGGCAAAAATATTTGAAAGCGACCAAATGCAAGACAGGACAAGTAGAGTTGTAGGAACATAGTAAGTACAATCGCACAAACTCCAAAGCACAATTATCAAGAAGTATACTAAAACTCTGGACTTGTCCATATTTTTCTGATGCAGTGGCTACATGTCACCAGAGTATGCAGCGTTTGGACAATTTTCCGTAAAATCAGATGTTTTTAGTTTCGGGGTCATGTTGTTGGAGATTGTAAGTGGCAAGAAGAACAATAGATTCTATCAGCAGAATCCTCCCCTGACCTTGATTGGATACGTGAGTTATAAGGGAATCTTTTCTGCTTATAGTTAGCTTTCAAAATTCACAACTTCAAATATCGTCAACCTTCATTTCCTGTATGTTAATGATTTATATGAACAACACAGGTGTGGGAATTATGGAGAGAAGAGAGAGCATTGGAGATAGTTGATTCAACGCTGGAGTTATATCTTCCCCAGGAAACCTTGAAATGCGTACAAATCGGCCTGTTGTGCGTGCAAGAAGATGCCATGGACAGACCGTCCATGTTAGCAGTTGTTTTCATGTTGAGTAATGAAACAGCCATTCCTTCTCCTAAACAACCTGCATTCCTTTTCGGAGAATCTGGCAAAAATCCTGACATAGCAGTAGACGTAGAAGACGGACCGTGTTCTATAAATGAGGTGACAATTACTGCAATTGCCAGTCGCTGAAGATGTACATTCCGAAAAACGGCTTCAAAAGACATTCCATTACATTTGTGCTGAACTAACAGCATGTGTCCTAGCTGAAAAGGTTCAATCTAAAAATTAATGTCTTTTTTGGAACTGTCCTATTTTGGAACTGTCCTAAGACAGCCTTTGCAGTCTGTCTTAGAACTGCTGAGGGATGAAAGAGGAAACTAACTATTTTTCCTTTTCTTCATGTTCCAATTAATACATTAGAAGCCTCACTCATATCTTTCTAACTCTGTCTTTTCAGCAAGTTTGTACATGCAAATGTTATCTTCGTATTTCCATTGCGGCTATAATTCATTACGAAGCACTAAATAGTTGTCATAATGAGCTGAAAAGCAAAAGAAAGCAATGAAATATTTAACTAGCTGATGACTTCCATCTTGCCGTGTTTTCAATTTTTTTTCCTTTTCGTTTGGATGCGGAGATGTATCCAAAATTATCAGATTTTGGAATGGCAAAAATATTTGAAAGCCACCAAATTCAAGATAGGACAAGGAGAGTTTTAGGAACATAGTAAGTACCTTTTCGTGAAACAGAGACTGAGCGACAAAATAATACTTATGATTAGTAAGAATACTTAAACTTCGGACTCGTTATTTTGTTATGCATTGGCTAAATATATGTCACCAGAATCTGTTGTGTTTGGAAAATTTTCAGTGAAATCAGTTGTTTTTAGTTTCGGGGTCATGTTGTTGGAGATTGTGAGTGGCAAGAACAATAGAATCTATCAACAGAATCCTCCCTTGACCTTGATTGGATATGTGAGTTACCAGAGAACCTTTTGTGCTTGTAGCTGGCATTGAAAATACAAAGTTGTATATAGTTTCTGTACCTCATGTTAATGGCTTATATTAACCACACAGGCGTGGGAATTATGGAGGCAAGACAAAGCAGTAGAGATAGTTGATTCATCACTGAAGGACTTGTATCATCAACAAGAAGCCTAGAAATGCATACAAATCTGTCTGTTGCGTGTGCAACAAGATGCCATGGACAGACAGACAAGTGATAAAATACTACTACGCTTGATTACACTAAAAGTTGATTCTTTCATTATTTTCTTATGCAGTCGCTATATGTCAGCAGAATATGCTGTGTTTGGAAAATTTTCTGTAAACTCAGATGTTTTTAGTTTCGGGGTCAAGTTGTTGGAGATTGTGAGTGGCAAGAAAAACAATAGATTCTATCAACAGAATCCTCCCCTAACCTTGATTGGATCTGTGAGTTATGAGAGTTTTCTGATCAATGCTACCTTTCAAAATTCACAATTTTAAAGATCGTCTGCCCTCATTTCCTGCATGTTAATGATTTACATGAACAAAGGTGTGGGAATTATGGAGAGAAGATAGAGGCGGTGAAAGAACAAAAAATATGCTATAACACATAACAGCTAAAAGCTGAAACAACCCTAAAACTCCAAAACTCTCTAATATTATGACAAAGCACGCAGGTATTTTTTTTTTTTTGTCTTTTTTGTATCTTATTATTATTATTTTTAAAGTTCATCCCTCTATATTTAATTTATATATGAATCTCGTCCCTCTATTAGACTAATAATGTTAACTTTTTTTTAAAATCTAATTTAAATAAATGAATTTTGAAAAGAAAAAAAACTAGAAAAAGGTAAAGATATACATCTTGATCATTCTCTCCAATAATTGAACATTTTAAAAAAGGCGAAGCTAATTTTTTTTTATCCAAAATATCTTTTATGGATTTAGATTTATCTCTATATTAGTAAGCAAATTTTGAGTGTAAAATAAAATATTTATAGTATTTTTTTAATGGAAAGAGAGTTTTACTTAAATTTTTAAAATTAAAAAAATTGTAAAATCAAAATAAGTAAATTATAGTAGTTTTTTTTCTAGGTATTGTTAAATTATAAGTATCACTTAAAAGTTTAAACATTTAACTAAAACTCTCTTTACATTAAAAGGAAATACTATAAATATTTTATTTTATACTCAAATTTTGCTTACTATCATATAGACACATTTTTTTTAAAAAAATACCATAAATATTTTATTTTATACTTAAAATTGGTTTATTATCGGAGAGACAAATTTAAGCTTGAACGCGTTCTGTTCCTCCTAAAAGGATGACTTTGTAGTAGAAACTTATAGCGACAAGTCAAACCAAGAAGCCTTTCGGTCATTACGGTGACTAAAAGCATTAAATTTTTTTTCATGTAATACAAGTATGTAAATTTTTTTTCATGTAGTACTCCAACTTGACAATATGTAGGGAAGTCACTGCTTGCCCATATAATAGCGACTTGCATCCGAAAATTCTCCTTATGAGACATATCATAAGTAAGTGCACCAACTTTCTATAATTTACAAACTCTTTAATTAAGGGCTATAAGTACACGTCTAGGTTAACCTTTGGGTTTTAGGTCCAAGGACAATTATAGTTAAGAACATATATTATTCATTCATATATTTTTACTATGGCAAATTGTAAGGCATTACAATCACGAGGCGATAAAGAATATTACCTTTCTCTATTTAGAATGCCTAAAGGTGTGGCAAAAAAACTTATTTCTATGCAGCAACGTTTTTTATGGAGTGGAGGTTCGGAAAATCGAAAGATTTACAAGGTGGCTTGGCGTCCGGTGGCTAGACCAAAAAGAAAGGGTGGGATAGGTATTGTTTCCATAACGAGGAAGAATAAGGCATTGCTTTTCAAGTGGATATGGCGTCTTAGTCGGAGTAACTCTTCCTGCTGGCAACAATTCATCCTTCAAAAATACGATCTAACGTCTAGGAACGATCTTCCCTATTTTGTAGGTATCTTATCTCCTTATTGGAAAGATATTTGCTCGGTTTACTCAAGTTCAACTCCTTGCGGTCATGCTATCAAAGAAGGGATTCGTTTCGAAGACTGGCAATGGTAGATCCATCATGTTTTGAAAAGATGTGGGGGCAAGTAGCACAAACCTCGACTCAACTTTTTCGAGTCTATACGGGTTAGCTACCGAAAAGATTGCAAAATTTTAGATATGGGAGATTGGTGTAGTTTAGGTTGGGTTTGGAAATACCATTGGAGGAGGGAGCTTCGTGATTGGGAGGTTTAAGAAGTAGAAAGGTTGCACCATTTAATTTCAACTGTTCACCTAAATCTAAGTGTTGATGATAAGAGAATGCGGGCTTATGACATAAAAGGCTTATATACTCGTTAAGTCTTGTTCTTCAACTCTAGATTCGATTCTGCTGCATGGTGACTCACATATAATCTCTTATGTTTGGAAAGGCTTAACTTCTCCAAAAGTAGAAGCTTTTGTCCGGTTAGTAGCTCACCGCAAGTTACGAACAAGGGATTTTCTTTTTTGTATTGGTCTAGTGGAGTTTTCAGCCAGCTTATGTCCTTTCCGCAATGGTTATCGAGAATTTGTGTCTCATCTCCTTTTCTATTGTCATGAGATTTGGCGGTTGTGGTCTAAAATCTTT